AGCTGCAGTGGTGTCTTCAATTTCATTATCCCGAGTCAAGCTCCGTATGAAGACATCCAAGAAGAAGATTGCCTGATGAGTCCAGCGGGGACGAAACGTACGTCGCAATCGAGCTATGTTGTTGCTGTGTCATCATCTATGTGCCATGCGCTACTTGATGTACCAGCCTGCTATGCCGGATACCGCCAGCCATGCATCGACCAGGCGCCAGGCGAACTGATGGTGGTGCAGTGATCTAGCCAAAGCCGGCTTAGCGGGCAGAATGCAGGCTGGGAGGGCAGGTGGGAGGGCGACCTGCCAGCTGAGACAGCTCCAAGGGTAATTTTGGCCGGCTGCAGTCACTCCCATGTAGACTGTAGTGCCCCATATCCTAGGCGTAGGTATGTACAGTACAGTACGTAGCACTGGCTACTCAGGCTCAGTGCTAGCTCTTCACTCAAGCTCAAATGCACTTGAGTATGCACTTGAGTACGTCAGTAAAATGTAACAGGTTGGGTCATGGTTCGAACGATGCATTTTAATTAGAACGTTGGCCGGCTGGCATAAAATCCTGGCTAGACCTCTGTGGTGGTGGTGAGAAGGAGAGCTCTGTGCCAGAACTTTGCAGCCTACAGAGCGTGTGTGGGCAGGCGTGTGTTTACCGCCATATTGCCAGGTGTGTCTTTACCACCATATTTATCAACCATAAGTACAGCTGCAGTGGTGTCTTCAATTTTATTCTCCCGAGTCAAGCTCCGTATGAAGACATCCAAGAAGAAGATTGCCTGATGAGTCCAGCGGGGACGAAACGTACGTCGCAATCGAGCTATGTCGTTGCCGTGTCATCATCTATGTGCCATGCGCTACTTGATGTACCAGCCTGCTATGCCGGATACCGCCAGCCATGCATCGACCAGGCGCCAGGCGCGAACTGATGGTGGTGGTGGTGAGAAGGAGAGCTCTGTGCCAGAACTTTGCAGCCTACAGAGCGTGTGTGGGCAGGCGTGTGTTTACCGCCATATTGCCAGGTGTGTCTTTACCACCATATTTATCAACCATAAGTACAGCTGCAGTGGTGTCTTCAATTTCATTCTCCCAAGGGATCGATAATTCATAAAAATCAACTAATTGTAATCATGTGAAGTGCTTCACTGTCCGAAGAGTGCGCAATACCCATGTAGGGTAGAGCCATGTCCACAAGAGAGATTGGAAGCTTTGTCACAACTCTTGAGTTTAACGTATTACTACGATCATCAGGCAATTGATGGCTCCAAAACGGGCAGCCTGAACATAAGGGGGAGCAAGGTGGGAAATTCTGAGGGGTATCATAGCGCTAGAGTCAGGAGCAGCCGTGAAGTTGTTAAAAAGTCTTCAGACTTGGGGCTTCGCAGCAGCAGTTCTGGCGTGAATGATATAGAATAGCGCTGGGGACTTAAATGCCAAATCCACAAATGCCCACACCCTTACACACTAGTCGTAGTCCTTGTAGCTATATAAATAGTGAGAATTGTGTTGCTCCCTACGTGGGAGCTCGCGCCTTTCCTGCCGACTTGAATTCTCACTTGACTGACTAACGACTGCCATCCAGAGCATACGAGAATTCCATCGAACTGTCCACTCGGCAAACCTGCAAGAAAGCACCACTTCCTACTCAATACACAGTGTTTCGGGGAATTCACCCCTCATCAGTTGAGCTTGAGTAGGCTTAGGAAGATTGTGCCTGAAAAGCACCACTTTATATAGTGCTCTCCAGGCACAAACATCACCAGGGATACAAACTTGCAGAGACGCTCCGTTTCCAGCACGACAAACACCTCGTGAACACCAGGTAGCAGCGTGAGTCAATTCCCAAGTTATCGCTGAAATCGCACCAACCTCTTCTTCACATAGCTGTCCCCAACGCGGGCTTGCGGATTAGATGGTTTGGAGGCAACAACGTTGTGAATGGCCAATGGTCCTCAGCGTTTGTTCAGCACCTCCATGAGCGACACTGACTCACGCTGCTATCTGGTGTTCACGAGGTGTTTGTCGTGCTGGAAACGGAGCGCCTCTGTAAGTTTTTATCCCTGGTGATGCTTTTGCCTGGAGATCACTATATAAGTGGTGCTTCCTCTGTCCTCCTATTGTTTGAACCAGCTCTACCACTCGGTATTGAGCACTCTCTTGGACAGCCTGGAACCTCTCTGTTTTATAAGTGGTGCTCTTCAGGCATAATCTTCCTAAGCCTACTCAAGCTCAACTGATGAGGGGTGAATTCCCCGAAACACTGTGTATTGAGCAGAGAGTGGTGCTTTCTTGCAGGTTTGCCGAGTGGACATTACACGGACAGTTCGATGGACTTCTCGTGTGCTCTGGATGGCAGCCGTGAGTCAGTCAAGTGAGAGTTCAAGTCGGCAGAAAAATCGCGAGCTCCCACGTAGGGAGCAACACACAATTCCCAAGTTATCGCCGAAGTCGCACCAACCTCTTCTTTATATAAATAGTGCTGTTAAAATAATTCTAGCCTTTCAGTATTCTACAAAACCTTCACTGATGGAATCTTTTTCATGGTCGAAACAGCGCTGTATGGAGGAAATTTGTATTTGCCAATATCTAAAACTTGGAGTCATGTTGCTGGTGTGAACGAGGTCGGCCAGAGAGCGCATCTGGTGGAGGTAGAACAAATTCATTTTTGAAGCACAATATTGCATTTTCCCCATAGTGCCGCACAATCCTTGCATAGTTGACTGGTTCGAGTCCTGATGGTGACAGTCAATTTTTTCTTCAGACTTTTCCCGTTTGCGTCTTTCCCTCAAACCAGTGAATAGTTGACTGTTGATGATAATAACAAACACAGTTTGCATGTAGCCCAAATGAAACATATGGGGTTAACGCATCTGTCTGCAATTAGGTGTCGGAAACTGTAGTAATGTACAATTTGTTATATACTTTGCATTGCTGCAGCTAGCTAGTAGCTAGCGCAAGTAATCAGCTTTGGTGGAGCTCGGCACCAAAACCATGAACTTTCGGTGCATTCATGTGATCCACACATCATCACAACACTCTCAGCTAGATGGTGGACCTTGGCCAAAAGTTCCGGATATTTGGCTTATTTTTTTTATTGATTTGTGTGGCCTAGAGGCTGAGTGCTGTAAGGAAGCATGGATCTTGTGGATGTGTGAATATAGAGGATGTGTGGATCTTGTGGATGTGTGGATCTTGTGGATGTGTGGATCTCGTGGATGTGTGGTGGATGAGTGGATAGCTGATGAGTGGACATTGTACTTAGTAGATGTGGGGATCTCGTTGATCAAGTGGATTTAGTAGATCAGCGGATTTAGTAGATTAGTGGATTTAGTAGATCAGTGGATTTAGTAAATCAGTGGATTTGGTAGATCAGTGGATTTAGTAGATCAGTGGATTTAGTAGATCAGTGGATTTAGTAGATCAGTGAATTTGGTAGATAAGTGGATCTCGTTGATAAGTGGATCTAGTAGATAGGTGGATTTAGTGGATCTAGTACTAGATAAGTGGATTTAGTGGATCTAGTAGATAAGTGGCCTAGTAGCTGGTTACAGTGGAGTCAGTGTATGGACTGTAGTACAGTAGTGTACATGAGTGCATTGGTTCTCCAAAACATTGGCTTTAACACAGTCACTACATACCTGCCTACTAACCCGATTTGGCCAGGACCGCGGTCCCAATGTCGACGGTCAAGGTAATATGCATACAAAAGTGCATTTGTCGCATGCCTCACAGCTACAATGTACATTTGTACACATTTCCATGACTCCCCGGGAAAACATGATACTACTGTACTACTTGTACATGTACTGGCAAGAGTACGTAAACCAGAGTGTGCAACTGTGCATATCAGATCTGAAACAGCGCAGTCCGTGCACTACGTCACCCTGATGAGGTCAGCCCAGCTGTGACTTGCGTACAGCTCAAATTTTCGTGTTTCGCAGTTCGGAAATCAGCCAAGTTTGCATGATTTAGACGTCCTGTTTCAGGATTTCGGTGTTTTTGTGTGACTGTGGACGCTGCGTACATCCGCCGACAAGCGACAAGTAAATTCACCAGGCTATCCGTATCAAAAAACCGAAATCAGGACGAACTCAGTGACCTGCACCGCCGTGACTGGTTACGCAACTATTCACCGTGCCTGTGGCTTACCATGCCGTCAGAAGTGACGTACTGCACGTATTACACTCCCACAGGAACCATCCATGCATCCCGAGTTGCACACTCTGGTTTACGTACATGTACTCTTGATAGTGCCAGTAAGGTTTATTCTTTTTTTTTTCTTTCTACAAAACCCACATATCTCCACACACTGGGGTGAATAATGGAGTGTGGTGGTGAGGCCCATTAACCCTTTGGAACTGCACTGATCACACGACGTCAGGAGATAGCTGCAATTGCAAGTATATTCGTTCCAATTTCCATCATAACGCTGGTTCTACTTCACCGATTCTGACGATCTTGGGCTCGTTGGAAAGCTCTTGGAACGAGGATGACAGCGAGCCCAAACTCATTCAGGAGAGCGATTGCTGTCTGCTACCGAATGCCAGGAACGCCAGCTGAATACCAAATCCAAAACGGGAATAGTCCTTGTCTCGCCATTTCACTCGTGCTAGCTCAAAATCATTCAAATTTTTTCTAACAGGCTCACAAAAGCCGTGACAAAAAGCGCTGGGAGTGATGTCACACGCTGCGTGGGCAGGAAGAGGGAAAATCCCACTTTTGAACGAAATTTGCACTTCGCTGACGCATGAGAAATCGAGCGAACTTTCGAGCACTTGCCGCTCTGTTATACTAGCTCGTATCGACTCCGGAGTTTTTCGAGCCGACAGCTTAGATTCTCTGCTACCTCGTAGGTATTTCGATTGTTGAATTCGGTTGAGATTTGACTGAGTTGTGACTCGTTGAGTGCACTTGCACACATGACATTGGCATCGTTCGAATTCGAACGATGAGCTCCAAAGGGTTAAGCTCCGCCGACGGAAGGTAACTATAGAAGTCTTGCTTGCTTGATAGATTAAGATGTTTTCGATTTCGACAGCATGTTACAAGGCGAGGACGCACACTGCACAGTCCTCCTGACTACAGCCATAACAGTCATGGTTGGCAGAGTCCCGGTCTTGCCACCATTTGAACCGTATTTACTGTTACAGCTGAAGAGCTGAGAGAAGGACGCCATGGGCAGAAGTAAAAGAAAACCCAACGGAAGACACAAAAAAAAGAAAAAAAGAAAGATAGATAACAAATTACAGAGAAAGACAGAAAAATATTAAACAACATTACAATAACTGAAATCATTGACAGACATGGATCCTAAAGCGGCGGCAACACGACAACGTGAACAACAACAATACCACCACCACCACCAACGACAACAACATCAAAAAGACAAAATTCTAATTTCTACCACCCCTACAACTTTGTAGAGTAAAGAGGGTCCGAACCGGGTTTTCCCAATACGGTTCAAATGGTCGCAAGACCGGGACTCTGCCAACCGGTTTATGGTTGAACTTGTTGTCAGGAGCACTATGCGTCCTCGCCTTGGAGACCTACCGGTATTTGTAACTAACTTGCTGTCGAAATCGAAAACATAGTACGAGTACCAGAAAGCAGTATTACACCATGGCAAGGTACACACCTGAGGTCCTACCGGCGATAGCTAGTGACGATGCTCGCTGGAGTCGAGAAGCCGGATTAGCCAGGCATGACCGGACCGTCGCCGATGATTCATCCACAGTCCAGGACTAGCGCCTAGCGGGAGGGCAAAACTGAGCCAGTCGACTTCTTTGCCACTTCTGCTACACTACATGAATGTACATCATTAGTACACGTAACTAGTGCTAGTAGCTCAGGCTCCCTGCGAGCTGCAGCTAAGGATTTATAATTATCATCAGTGGTGTGTGCGTTCAAAAAACCACCTTTTACTTTAGTAGAATCATGTAGGTCCACGAGAAGTGATAAAAAACGTGATTGAAAATACAGAAACCCTGCATCATCACCAAAGCAAGGTTCAAGCGGTCTCTTTACTTTGCTACTACAGTCAACTTCGCCAATAACGACATTCGGCGGGGCATCAGAAAAGTGTCCTTATTCGCGAAGTGTCCTTATAACCGAAGTCCCATTTGAATGTATGTGAACCCATATTTTGTATAGTATGACATGCATATCAAAATCAAGCTCTTTTCTTGCTCTATGTCAATGTGTACTTTATTTTCATATTGCAGTTGAAAGGAACTAAAAATTCAATATGCAAGGGAAATTAATTGAAAAAATTAATAATAATATTATGCCTTTTTGATACAGTAGATACAGGGCCAGAGACATGTACATGTACATGTATGATGATTACTGTACAATCATGTACCACTACATGTACATTGTATACATGTACATATAGGTGTGCTGGTAAATCCAACAATTTTGAAGCCAACATAAAAAAGGAAGAAAAAGCCCCCTCCCCCTTGGCTGCATTTTCTTGCATGTGTGCCTTTATAATAATTATTAATTATGAATAATATCCATCACCATAGGTTCTGGTACTTCTGCATGACAGGTACCGTAAAGTACCGTTGATCCGCCCCCACGCCATGTCGCTTCCCAGCTGGGTTTTCGGCAGGGGGCGGGAATTAGATCAAGGCTGTCAAGTGCAGTACGATGTATAACAACGTAGAGGATCAGTCTCAATGTGCTGGATTGTGCACATTTTGATCCTGGATTGGCAAGTATTGTGTACAGCAGTGTATGCGTCGGTTCAACATCGTATTTCGTTGTATACGCCGAAGTCGCTTCACAAGGAGAAAATCGACAGGGGGCGGGAATTAGAGAGGGGGCGGATCAACGGTACTTTACGGTACATGTACTTGACTGACAGGTACTTGAAATAGCTGTCAAAAGCCCAGAAAGTCGTTATTCAAGCAGTGAATATGACCTCGGGGCACTAAAAGCATGTCGCTATATGCGAATTGTCGTTATTCAGATAGTCGTTATATCCGAAGTTAAATGTATACAGTTAGATGGGACTTTGCTCTGGGCATGGAAATTCGGTCGTTATTCGCGAATTGTCGTTATATCCGCAGTCGTTATTAGCGAAGTTGACTGTATTCCCAACCTCGGCCAGGCCGGAGCCAGGCGTCCTTATCATGATTACAGTCATGTATGATGTACTAGTAGTAGTACCGTAGGTAGATCTACTACTACAGTAAGATCGGGCGCCGAAGAACGCAGGGGCTCGAGCGCAGCCAAGGAAAGTTCTTAAATTTTTGATTCTAGCCAGACCGTTCTTATTCACACGCGCGCGGCGAGTCGAGTGACGTCATGACGTTTGTCATGTACATGTACATGTAATTGTACATGTAGTGCAATGTAGTACATGTACTTCTATTATTAAAACTAGTGGGTGTCGTAAATGGGAATGACATGTACATGTAGCAGTTACTGTTTACACGAGTACATGACATGTACTCACCTCCCATACATGTACAATGTAGATCTACGTACAATGTAGATCTAGTGTTCTTA